GGCCTGGCGCCTTGTCATTGCTGGAAACGGAGCAACTGAGCCGCAGTGGTTGCCATGTCCCCAGAGACTTAGATTCGATGTATATTCAAAAACTAATAATCATAATAATCACAGAATAAATCAGAATAATATAATTATAGTATGTTATAGTTTCCCGATATTATGAATGATGACCAATCTTATTATGATTCAAAGCCATCTTTAGCAGCGTTGGAGTCGACTGAAGATTTGGATGGTTTGACAACGGCTTTCCCTCGCTGTTGTGATGAACGGAGGGAGCGGTGAAGGGAGCGATTGGGGTATCCATATTTAGGCCAGTTGGAGCTAGGATTTTCAGTTTCCGGAAGCATATGATAGCTCCCATTACAGTAACCATTCTTGTATAATAGACCTACGTAGGTATATCCATCATATATCCATCATATATCCATCATATATCCATTATATACTGTACCTATTGAAGACACATACCATGGCAATCTACGAATATGTATGTCTTGTCCCCATGTCTGGCCTTTAGCATGAGGGACCACGAGAGAAGACGACCCTTTGGTACTGGGCATATGATGGGATAAAGCTGGGGACACTAGTACTAGTAGTAGTAGTAGTAGTAGCAGTAGCAGTAGCAGTAGCAGTGTACTACTACTACTACTACTACTACTACTGATAATAATAATATATAATAATTACTACCAATACTAGACTATGGATGGAATATTGATGAATTGCCATCTGCGTAATGAAACATGGTTTGGAAAACGGCCCATTGAGTTTGACCAATTTCCCATTCAATGCTCCATTTACAGATCCTATTCCTATGCGTGAAAACCTAAATTTGGTTCGGGCATTTCCCAACTGCTCGAGCTTAGTTTGATGACACCAGAGGGTAAGATCCATGAATCCAGGCGCACAGTTCTTTATTTTGGCCTCTGTCGAAACAAGCGCTTCTTCATTTTTGCCGAGCAGCTCCCTTGATTCTAATGCTCAAAGGATTCCATGCCCATTATTTGGATGTGCGGGACCCAGATGGTAAGTGGTTTAGAGCCAATATATATATATATAATATATTATATATTATATATATACATATGTATGTATTTGGGATATGGTATGATCATTAGCCATTGTCAATTCCTGGGTTGACCTCCAAGTAGGTCATTTGACGTCAATTTCTCAACGTCAAATGCCGTGTGAAAAAACGACCGTGTTTGAGTTGTCGAGGTCATGGCCAGATCTCATCCGAAACGCAGTGAGTGCCTGTTCCAAAGCCAAGTACTTCGGCACGGTGATCACAACCATGGGATGATGGGAAAACAGGAAACACCCGAAATCTGGTGGCAAGAAACCATGGGTTTTCTGTAGTTCCCTTAAAGCCATGAATTCCAGGTGAGAGTGGGGTGATATGGGTTGACGAAAATATGTCAGGTCAAAGTACATTAAAGTTACTGATGTTCTTCACCCAAATCAGGATGTTTTCAGCGGTGGTAAAAAGGCCTGTCTGCCAGCGGGTTTCTTGAAATTGTTTTGTCCAACTCAAATGGAAACTGTCCAACGTTTCAGATGAAAACTCATTGGTTTGGCCAATCCTTGTTGTCAATGGCTTTGGTGAAGCCAACTTGCTGCAAGGTTGTACCCCCAGTTATGCTCACCAACTTAGCTCAGATTTATTGGCTCTTCCCAATGAATGATGGATTGTTCTATTCCTATTTTTTCCATATTTTACCTATTAATACCCTATTACAATGGATGATTAGCCCATAAATAGTGGATAGTTATCCTATGTTATTTCATATTTTCATATATATATAATATACACATTTCCCCATGATACCCCCATTCTTTACCATGATTTCCCCATCCAACACAAATCAACGACAACAAGACGGTCCCCTTTGATCGACAGGCAATGGTCGCAGGCTCTTCTCCTCTTTGAGGAGCCCCCGGCAGAACGAACGTCGACGCGTTTCGACACGGGAAAAGCCATAAAATACCTTGAAATGCCAAGATTTTCCCGTCCTATTGGTTGCACATGGAGGTTTTCCTCTCCGAAGGCTGCTTTTCCCTCCTTTGGATTACCGACTTGTCAAATGCCAGGATTTCTTTTATTTTTTAAAATCTTGATTTTGACGATTGATCTTTTAAATTGAGATAACATTAGAATTTCACGGTCATCTTTGACTTAGTTTATAGCATTTGATAGCCTCTGGTAATCAAACATAGCAATCGGAAATCCACCGTTTAGTTCGATGTTTTTTCCCAGCTAGAAACCTCTATATCCTCTATTTAGTTCCAGGGTTTCCCAGCCATGTTTGATGACATCGGATATCCCATATCCAATCAATATTCCATGACATCCCATTCGCATCCCAATTTCATGTCCCATGAAGTTAGCGAAACACATCAGCATTTCTTGGTGTTTTGTCCCATTTTTCATCAGAGGAAGCGACAGAACTGCGGGTGGTGGATCTGGCCACCTACACTTCAGCCATCTTTGCCTGCAAGCAGGTCCTGTGATGGGATGCGATGGAAAATGGCTTGGAAAGTGGAGGATCTCTGAGGATCTCTGGTAAAAAATGGGGAGATTCTCAGAAGGAAAATCTACGGTTGAAACAGTTGAAACCATCAGCATCTGATTTGATGGCACTGCGACCGCGATTTCCGGTTTAGATGTTTGCAAAAAAAACAATCCATTGACTTCGCTTAAACCGTGGGAATTTTGCGGCATGTGAAATTGGGGTTTATCATGCCACAAATCTCAGGGATTCTGCGGGATCAACTTGGCGTCAATTTGGCGTAGACTCATAACTATCATGGGATTTACCATGATAAACCGTGATAAACCCATGGAATCCCTGAGGAAATCTCGGAATTTTAAAAGTCGTGACGCCATTTCAACGGGACAACTCGACTTCGTGGCTTCGCTCATCAGGCGAACCTGTGGCAGCACGGCATCTCTTTGCTATGCAATCTGCGGAAGCAAGAGCTGCAGGTGGGGACCGGTGTCATCGGAAAAGCCATGGTGAATCATTGTGGAGTTGTCCAGTGGTGGATACCCCCTAGCCGTTGACTGCCTAGCATTATCTACACTGTAGCTACATCCGGTATGTGACGTGCGCATACATCGTTCTACAACAGCGGATGCTCTGCCAGTCACTGCTGACATGCAGTTGTTTCAATTGGTTAAACCAACCCTATATTTGGATATATTTGGATGGTTAGCCCCCATAATATAATATTATATATACTATTTTTGGATGGTTAACCCCTTATATTTGGATGGTTAAATCAACCCTATATATATATATATATCTGGTTGGTGGTTTGGATCATTTTTTTTATTTTTCCATATATTGGGAATAACAATCCCAACTGACTTTCATATTTTCCAGAGGGGTAGGTATACCACCAACCAGATATATTGTACGCAAAAAAGTGTATATATATATACATACATAAACATCCAATGAGGACATCCACCGGCATTTTCAGGACCCAAATGAGTGGGAGGACATGTTTGGAGGATAAATCTCCCGTATTTTATTCCGGTTACCCTCTTGATATCTTCCACATTTCATATATCTCCCATCAAAAAATCCATATTTACTGGGTAAATCACCATCACATCGCCTAAATCACCACTCTTGAGACACCCAAAAAAATGCTTGGTGAATTGGTGAATGTTGGTTATATGAAACCAAGGCTTTCACCAGATATGGTTGGTGAATTCCCATCTTTCATCCCCATCTACCTCTGGAGGGGGTCATTTGTAGTATATATCAAAATTAGTATAACTAATACCATCAATAATATATATATATATATATATATCATATTTATATATACATACATATATATATATATGAGCAAGATTTTATAAATCACATACCTGCTTTTCAGGCTATTAGAATAGTTACCCCAATCCTAACCATTATTCCGGTGAGGGAGAACAGTGAGGTTGTTATAATTCATCCAAGTTTATGGCACAACCACTCGGTAATTAGACAGCTAACTAGGCTTATGAAAACCAGCTACAATCCTTCTTCCTAGAAAAAATACCCAGCCTCTCCCCCAACTAGGGGTTGCGAGTTATTACCAGGGGTTGGATCCTAACTGGTTAATTAACCCTGTAGTTAGTTAATACCTAATTAGTATGAAAAATATGTCGAAAAAGAACATATAATTGGTTAATGCCTAATCAACCATGTAGTTAGTTGATGCCTAACCACATATAAAAGTTAAAAACTTGCTTGGACCGTTTGTTTCTACGAACTAACAGTTGGATCCTAATCGGTTGATTAAACCCATATATGTTAGTCAATACCGAAGTGATAATATATAAATATCGCAATATCTATAGCTACAATTACAACTATAACTGTAACCATAACTATAGGTCATGAAAACTTACTAACTTCATGAATATCATTACAAGATTTGAAGGCTATATCGAGTGCTTCCTAACTTGGATCCATGGTTAACACTCTAACTCGGAGAGATCCATATGATCCGTACTATATCCCAAATTATTGGGTTTACTCATTCGTTAACTAAATAATTAACTAACTAGTTTAAGTAATATAGTATTCCGTAACTAAACTCGTTAATCCCGTAACAAAACCATTATTAAGTATATAGTTATGAACTAACTACTACTTAAGATAATTCATCCCTACTAACCATCACTACAGTTAACAGTTATTCCCTTATGGGGGGTATGACAAACTACTACTGCTAAACAATCTGGGGATTTAACCCTTATTGGGATGCATCTACAATTGGAAAAATGATGCTATATCATATACACATGGGGATTTTTTCTGTTATATAACAACTAGAATTTCTATTTCGACAAAAAAAATATACAACTTAATTCTATGTGGTATATTTTTGGTGGTATATAACAACTAACTATGGTGAGTTTAACTATAATCCACAACTGTGGTATATAACAACTATGGTATTTAACATTATTTATGGTATATAACTAGCAGGCGGATGCCATGACCCTGGCCGCAGCCGCCGGCGCCTGCGAGCGCGGCCTTCAGTGGCAGCAGGCCTTGGCGTTGCTACGCACGGCGCGCGACGCGTCGCTGGAGCAACGGAAAGGGACCGAAAGGGACGGACACCATGGCGATTTTCCTGGGAAAAATGTGGGAAACATGTGTTTTTCTTCGAAAATGAGGGACAATGGTGGATTTAACATGATTTCACCGCGAAAAATCGTGGATTGATACTGGATTCTTGATGCTTTTTGGTTGGAACTGAAAGTGATGCAACCATTTTATATTGATTTTATAAGATTTGATGGTGTTGTTCACCAGCAATGTTGTCGAATCATCAATATGTTTTTGTTTGAAAAGAGGGTATGCCATTTGGGGGGTATATATAGTTACCACCTTTTCAGACACAATATACATATATATATATCATATATATATATATATCATATGTATATAATATATATATATAAATAAATAAATAAATAAATATGTATATATATATATGCACACAGTCTACTGCATACTCAGAATATAATATGTATGGGTAGGTTTCTACCAGCAAGTAAGTGATTTCACTGGGATCAACCCGCTGTAGAAATGGTGATTTATTGATACTTCAAGGGATATGATAGGATCAAAATGAGATTTCGTTTATACGACTTGGAAGCGCCTTAAACTCATGCTGGGTTAAGTGCCTTGGGTTTGAGATTTCATGGAACCAACATGAATGGATCAGTGGATGTGGTTTTTTCAGGACTTTTTTGCTGTGCCATGTGGCTTTCCGAATCTCAGGTAATCCTTCCCCTGATCCAAGAGATCTCACTGAGGCAGAGAGAAAGTGCATTGATTTCAAATACTGCCACTTGGAGTGCGACATGGTGGTTCAAGTGTGCGCACTCCGACTTAAAACCAATAAAGCCTCTGTTTTTTGGGTATATGCCCTACTTTCCATGTGATGTTGTTGGTTGTATGCCACCTTTTGGGTCACAAACCCATCCCCATTTTGGCTGGTTTGACCCCAGAGTTTAAGGGTTTGGAGGCTACATATCCATTACATATATATATATATATTAATACATACATAAATAAATAAATATATATATATGTATATATATATGTGTATATATATTTAAATGTATATATATATATGTATATGTAGGTGTAAGAACAGTAATCCCCCACTGAAACAATTGCAAACGACTTTTCCACCTCTTTGCTGCTTGCAGTACTTGCAATTACATATACCTTTGGTAATCTAACATAGCCATAGAAGATGGCCATGATCATGGGTAAATTACAACTTGGTCATTTTCCCCTGTTGAAATTTCAAATTGCCACAGATGAGGACCAATCACCATTTCATCATTTACCAAAGGGTATCTACACACCCATTAAGTATAGATATATCTAATACAAATCCTTGTTACACTTAGAAACGAACTTAGAACCGAACTTGGAAACAAACTTAGCTAACGAACTTAGCTACACCACCCATTAATGCACTTGAAGTGCCAAAAAATCATCACTTGTTCCAGTAAATCCCCCAGTGATGTTCATCCCCCCAGTGGGGTCTTCATGATGGGATGATCAGGGGCACCATTTCATCCATTTTCTAAGGACCATCCCATCTGGTGAAATCACCCTTTTTTCTGAGCCAACATCTTTGAAAAACCAATTTTGCTGGTGAAAATCATATTTTTCCACATTTTTGCTGGTGAAATCGGAAATCACCATATTAAGTCACCATTTTATGAGGTCATGAACGCTATGGCCAACAGTCAACAGTGGCCCCAAGCCTTGCTTCTACTGGCGGAGACCCATAAGAGGCGTCTGTGACCCGGCCACTGTGGACTTCCAGTTGTTGGCCATTTATGGATACATGGAAGGTGCATCCTGAGCTAAAAATTGACTTATGGGGAATGGGATGAACGAACCCAGAATAGGAGTATGTACGAAGCAGTATGTTACGAGATGGGATAAAATTTTCATGGCTCAATTTGGAAGTGGTTAATCCAATGTAACTATTGACTAACTGGGGTATGTCTAACTGGGGTATGTCCCACATATAATTTTGCGTGGGTTTTGATAACCATCTACTATTTGGGATGCACATCCAAGTAAATTATCAGTGGGATAGACCAACCATAATGGTGGTATGACAGTATTCTTGGGATCTCTGCCCAAAGAAGACGGTGAGAACTATTCTTGCGCCATCCCCGTGAAATCCGAGCCCATACAACGATCATCCATTAAACATGCCCGTCAAATACCGAGTATTGATGTTTTTTTTGGCTGGCATGAAATCCTTATGAAGCCCCTATGAAGTCCCTAAAAATCCCATGACATCCCCATCGCATTGCCATAAATTGCCATAAACATCCAGATTCATAAAAACTCATTCCCATGAAACCCCGTGGAATTTCCCGATGAAATTCTCCACGAAACTTCGCCGATTTCGCCAAGGCAAAGCTTCCTCATCACGCGCAACGCTGTGGTGGCGGCTTGTAGTCGCAGCTCTGAATGGCTCTCAGCGGTGCAGTTGCTACAGAACTTTCAAAGGGAGCGATTGCAGGTGCCAAAAATGGGGGATGGTCTTCAGAATTGGAGATTAATGGGGATATATATAGAACAAAATAGCAACTATATGATACTATATGTATTTTGATGATTATTATTGAACTTATTAGTATTATTATTCGATTCTTGATTGGAGGGTAGCTTGACACCTCTCTATTGGAGGCTATCTTTTGATGGGTATAGAGAAGTAATAAGAATCATATCGGTATAGGTATAGAGTAGTATTAAAAATAATCATGATGGGGATGGGATGGCGGTGGCCATGACAAGTAGTCAACCTCGGATCCATTTTTTCCCGGAGCATAAAAACGGGGGGTTACCCCAAGCTAGTGATCTATACAAACTTATGTTCGGGCTGTATGTGTATATACTGTATATGGTATGGTATATGTGTATATACTAATACTGTAATGACGTCTAATTCATGATAATGTATGATGATCTATGCACATACTCATCTATTGGGACGGTTGGAGAGGAAGAACTTGTGTGATTAATCGTAATTATTCATACTTTGGGCTGCCCAGTTTAGCATCGCTCATGCCCTGTGTGCTTTTTATTCCCATCGCCAGTTGATCCAAGCCATTCTCATTTTTAGCTATACCATACCAAAACTGCCAAACTTTTGGGTTCTCCTATGGTTTTCCTATGTTTTTCCATGGTTTTCCTATGTTTTTCCATGGTTTTCCTATGGTTTTCCTATGTTTTTCCACCATGGTTTCCAGCATGGGGAAACCACCATCCCCCCGGCGCCAGGTGGACGTCTTCACCTACAACAACGCCTTGAGCGCCTGCGTGAAGAGCCACAAGTGGCAACAGACGCTTCAGCTCTTCCAGGACGCTTCAGAGTTTGCTGAAAAGATATATATATATATGTTGTATATGATATAGATATGATATTTTTTAGGTACTAATTATATATATATGTAAACATGTGTGTACATATGGTTGAAACTGTGTTCCATTTCAGTATTTCAGATGCATCATTTTCAGTCTATTCTGGGTGCAATTTCCAAGGCAACTGTTCGTTGGTGTTTCCCGCAGATGGACATCAACTTGGACATACGATGATGCAAACCTGCCCAACGATCGCTTCAAGATGCCCTTCCAACCAGATTATGTGTTTCCGATTTCGACTAATTCCCCTGAAATCTCATATGAAGTTCCCAGAAAATCCCACTAAATCCCTCTTGAATTCCCGTGACATCTCGTGAATTCCCCTATAAATTCCCACGGAGTCCCCATGATTTCCCATTCAATACCTATGATTTTCCCATGAATTGCCATGAAATGCTCAGTTATCTAATGGTTGGTCATTGAGCTTGGCGCCACTGTGGGTCAGGACAGAACATCTTGACTCCCATTTGTGGGCAAGCTTTTTTCCCCTTCTAATCAGTTCTTTTCCATGCTCACCAGCTGACAATCCCTTGATCATCTCATGATTTTCCTGTAAATCCCTATGAAGTTTCCATTCAATGTCCATTCAATCCTGATAAAGTTCCCATAAATTTCACACGTGTCACCACCAACCCCCTTGCCCCGCGGCCGCCGTAGCTCGCACTCTCCAGGACCTGCGGCAGCAGCGACTCGACGAGGCGGTGATGCCCTACGAATTTGCGGCGCCGTGGATGGCGACGTCGTGGTTTGTTTTTTGGGTGGAATTTGGATGGTTGAAAAATTGAATATTATATATATATAATATTTGGATGGCTATATATATATATATATAGGTTCTTTTGGGGAATTTTGGGGGAAATTTGTTTTTTTGATTATGGACGATGATATAAAAATTGACATATAATTGGCATTATATATTATGGATGGCTTTTAATTAGGGACGATTTAATTGACATTATAGTGTATATTATATATATGTATGTATACATATATATATATATACATATTGTATACACTGTACAGAATATAACTGATGTATTGATGGTTGATAATGGACCATTTAACCTATGGCTGATTATGATTATGGCTGATTTATTTATATAACCTATGGTTGATTTGATGGATTTTCATGGTGATATATATATATATAGATATGGCTATGGGTCAATAGCATTCAATATATTATAACACCATTTTTTTGGGGATGACCATTCATGTAGCAGCTCTTTGATGTTAACCAGGCGTGCAGGGTTTTGACCCATACCCATATGTATATATATATATATACCAGTAGTACCGCACAAGGCGGTGGCGGAAGCTTCAAGGATAGGACACTGCGGGAGAGGTGAGTTGTTGTGATGCATGGATGGCAGAGCGAATCCACTGATGGACCGAAAGGTGGTTGGAGTTGTGCTTTTTGGAGTGGTTGCAATGGTTGCAGTGGTCACCTCACTCACAACTCCTGGATGTAGTGTGGTGTACATTTTGACTTCGAAATGTGCTTCGCACCACAACGGCGTGCACTTTTTCGACATCTCAACTTCAAAAAGTGAACTGAACGTGGTGTGCTTTGTACAGTTTGACTTGGAAACGTGCTTCGCGCCACAACGGCGTGCAATTTTTCATCTCTCATCTGGCCAGCTAATTACAAATCATTGGAAAAACACAGTGTCTCGCGACTTTCCTACCTGTTCGCGCACCTGCATCTTCTGTCTTCTGACTCTGTCTCTTTTCTGATCTTCTTTCTTCTGCTCTTCTCGTCTCTGACTCTTCCCACCTCTGCTTTTTCATCTGTCCATATTGTCGAATGTTTGACTTCTAAACTTTCTTCGAATATACTGTATAGAATAGAACTGATGTATATATTTTTATATATACATACACAGATGTATAGAATGGTAGCTGATATTGGCGGTGCTTTTCAGGGTGGTTGAGAATGATGGTTGATGATAGTGGTTAGCAATGGTTGATAAATGTGGTTGGTGCTGGATAAACTTGATCATACTTGATTGAATATGGTGGCGACTTGAGACATGTTGAGACTTGGCAGTGGGTGGTTAAGAAATGGCTTGGAACTCCTAATTATAAAACCGATTGAGGGGTGGTAAAGCTGGTACTAGCAGGTTCCAGACTCGTGTGTGTGTATATATGTTTGCATATATTTAAGTAGGTACACATGCTTATGAATATATATATATATACATATGTACGTACTTATATATACGTATTATATATATATATATATTGTTAGATCATACGCATATATTCATGTTTATATATATATACATATTAATTTGTATATTCTGTACAATACATGTATATATACATACATATTGTGTATATATATATATACATATTAGTATATATATACACATACATATTGTATATATATATATACATTATATATTTACATACTATATATATATATACATACTATATATATATACATACATAATATATGCATATACATATGTATTCATATTGTAAATAAATAAATAAATATATATATATATATTTATATATATACACACATCCCCGCATACACACAGCAGGAAATTGGCACAGCGAACTATCCAGCGTTTTGACCGAGGTCAGCGCGTGCGGGAAAGGGGACCAATGGCAGCTAGGACTGGAGTTGACGAACAGCATCTTGGTCAGTTGAGCAGTGGCTGCGAGATGTAGGTAGCCTCTGTTGGTTGATTATCGACACGATTTTTTGGGATTTACTCGCTGGCAAACGTTGACACAGCGAACCGGAGAATCACCATCTTTAATGGTAAAATCATGAACATGTGGGAATATATTTGATATAGTTGATAAATGATTGTTGGTTGATGATTAGGGCAGGGATTATACAGGAATATCACAATTTATGAACGGGGAATTCCGTTCTCAACCAGGATCAAAAGTTTTCGACCTCCTGGGTTTGGCACTGTTATAAACTGCCCATATGGACCGATGGTAAACCACCCATGAAAATGGTCATTTTCGGGATGGTGGATCACCATCGATTTTCATCGTTTCTGGTGCAATTCCCCTATGGACTCCTAGGGGACTCATGGCTGGGATGAACTGAGTTGGGTCTGGCCTCAGGTATGCTTGAAAGGAAATTTGAAGTGCACCCCATCACTCGGAGTGTTGCCATTGGCATGTGCTGCTTGACTGAAGGGCTTGGCCCCTGAAATATCTCCCCAGGTTGCCACAGGTTCGAAACACCTCAAGCATGGCTTACGAGTTCCAAGCCATCAAAAATTTAAACCCTAAACTAATATGTGTCAGATTTTGCTCGATCCTTTTCCTTCCATCTGAGTTCCTCCTTTTGGTGCTCTCAACCTCTGTTTCCCAGGTCAGCAGTGTGGTGCCGACGTCTCCGAGCTGGTGCTACGGCTCCTAGACGACAGCGACAATGTCATGCTGAACGGCAAGGCGTTGAACGTCCTGGCCAAGTCCTCGTGGCAAAGGGGGCTGCAGCTCTTGCAGAGCATGGTCCGGCGAAAGGTGGGAGCCAGAGATCGGTGGCTGTCTGATGGTGGACACGGTTTTTTGGGATTTACCCTCTGGTAAATGTTTACATAGCGAACTGGAAAATCACCATCTTTAAGAACGGCAAATTAACGAACTAAATGGGCCGTGGCTTCAATAGTTATGTTAAATTACCAGAGGGTAGTGGATTTTTTTGGGACCTGGCTGATTGGACCTTCATTCCCATAATCTTACTATGATGAAACTTTTGGGGTTTCTTAATGGGAGTAATATGGGAATGGGGGTTCCAAGAATAAGATCCACACATGTAGAGATGAGAACAGCCCGCAAGAATACCGTTGTTTGAGTTCAAGGGCCCGAACCCCCCCTTGTGGAGGTCGCTGACAAGATTTCCTACGTCTCAATGATGAGTGTCTTCGAAACTACTGGGAACTGGCGTCAAGCTCTGCAGTTGCTACAAGATGTGCGGCAAGAGGGTGTGGAGGCGTCAACTTCCTGGGGTGCAGTCCAAACCATGTGAAGAGCACGGAGAAGTAGGTAATTCTTGGTAGTTGGTGATCGCAGCCAATTCAAAACAGATCTGATTTGGATATTCAGTGATTGCAACTAGTGGCAATGTTCATGGCCATTAAGAATTAAAGGCAATTATACAATGGCAACTGTTCGTAGTGGTAAGTATGGCACAATTTTGCCTGTAACAGTTGGTATTTGGTAGCAGTTTTGCGGCATCTCTCCATGGTCTTCGAAACCAGTTACTGATCTCTCCATTACAGTTGCTATCTTCCAAGCCCAGATTGGGCACCCAGGATCCGTGGGGTGATCTCCCCATCTCATTGTTACACCTTTTTTTGTCTTCATTATATATATATACACATATATATATATATATACAGATATATATATATATATACGTATATATATATGTATATCCATTCTTTTCCCACTAAATCCTGATATCCTGATATCCTGATATGATCCTGATATGATCCTGATATGATAGCCATCATTAGATCCCCATCATTTTCGCACTATATCCCCATGGAATAATTAATTACATTTCTTACTATAATCCCTTTCCCCATGCATAAACCATGCTAAAAAAGTAGGTGTAAAAACACACCTTTGCCACCATTTAAAATGGGGGTGTTGAATATGAACGGGCGCTGTGACTAATTACAACTATATGTATATATATATATATATACAGAGTCATTTACAGCAATAAATATTTCAAGTTCAATCATCAAAATAGGAGGATATCATGAATGGTCTTTTCAATATTTTGATGGAAATATTCTGAAGAAATCCCATCGATTCACCATTACCATCTAAATGAATGGTCAAAACCCCTGGCCGTGGCTCAGAACTTAAGGTCACCGCGGAACGATCCATACCCGTTTTGCTACAGCCATATCCCCATTAAAATCAATATACGGCGCTGAAAAAGAGAATGTCTAACCATGTTTATGCATATTTATCTTAATGGGGAATTAGATTTTAAAATACATTGTATCCCATATCTATATGGTGTAATCCCCATTAAAAACAACTATGGTGAAACCATCAGACTATTGAAAATCAACCAAAAAACACCACACATCACCATGAAATCGCATCAACTCAGTGAGTTAGAAAAATGAGAATATGAACCAATATATGTGAATCATTTCCATGAAAATACGGCGGACTCCCCATGAAAATATGGCTCAATGGATTGGTTTAAGGAAGAATTGAAACTGGAAAGCCCCATGATCTTAACTGGAAAATCAATGGTTTCCGGTTAAGATTTTCCCGTAAAACCAATCCGATGACACTAGGAGTTCATGATTTCATGTTTGTTGGTTATATACCCACTATATCTCATTGGTTTCAGTGACACTGTCGTGGCACCTGGACCCTGTGGGATTCCACCCGATCTTCGTTGCTGCCAGGTGGACCCGTTACTCTTCAGCGTGGCCATCAACGCCTGCGAGAACGCGCAGCAGTGGCCTTTCGCCCTGGCGCTCTTGAAAGAAGGCGGTGCCTGGCTCCTGCGGTGTGTGAAACACAACCGGGGAGGGGAAGAAAGCATAGGAAAATGGTGATGTTTTCCATTAGAAATGGTGATTTCATGGGAATTATAGCTGATTTATGCTCGCTAAGTTGGGTGGCCACACAACTCCAATTTCACTATGGTTTATGGTACTTACAACAATGGTTAATGGGGTTTATATCAGATTTATTGGTAATAGAATGGTTAAGAATGGTTGGTAATGGTGAATAATGGTGGTTATAACCAAGAATAGTGGTTAACCATCAAATTGGAGGTACTATGTTTTTTTTGGATATTGGGATTGTAATAGTATGACTATTCATGAGAATAGTATGAATAATATGGATAATACTAATATTTTCATGGGAATCTTGGGATAAAAAAAAGGAAGATCATCCCAGCCATCCCATGAAAACATCGGTTTTGGTGTCACCGTGTGTGGTTTTTGTGGCACCCAAAGGATGGTTACCCTCTGGTTATGACTAACAGTTCGCCATGGAATAGATGGCCCTAATCGAAATAGATGGTTTACCGTTCTTAATAGCATGGTGGATTTTCCATGGCAAACTGTGAATGTCATAACCAGATGGTTATATTCATATGGAGGTTTCTATCACGTCATGGGGGATCCGCAAGTCAAAAAAGTCAAAAGGTTTCAGTCGTCACTAGTCGTCATGGTCAGCCGGATGACGATTGGATCTGGGGGCCCAACTCCATGACTTTTGTTCATGTGGTGAAGCCATGAAAAATAGGAAAATAACCAAGAAATGGGGGAAGATATGGGAAATATTTCTGGAAAACCAGGATGAATGAAAACATGTTCACTTTTGGTATGTCGTGGGTATCATATTTAATGTGGTATAGCCAGTGTCATAAACCATACCCCAAATCGCCATAAATGGGTGGGATTGATACCATCCCCAATGGTGGTTTATGGCATTGGGTTTCCCACATTATTGGTTATATATCTATTTTGGTTATTTTTTATGTTGGTAATTCATGTTGCTTATGTATCAGATAAGTTATATTCAATGAACAATCAGGAGATAACCAAACATATGATGCAGTGGGGATATATCTGCAGGGAATGATTATTGAAACAGAAACATACTAATAAGTGGAAATGTATGCGATTAGGTGGGATGATCGTGAATGGGATATCATGTATAATATAAATATCTATTAATATATATATATATCTATATGCTATATATTTACATTTATACACACATATATTTATATACACATATATGTAAATAACTAACTAACTAACTAACTAACTAAATAAATAACTAAATAAATAAATAAATGTATACATGCATATGTATAATATATATATATATACATATGTAGGTAGTTGGACCACGGCTTATAGACGGCCGTGTTGGGGTGGAGTTTTTTGATGTGGGCGGCTCTAGGAGCGCGCGCACGTTGCACTATTTTGCATTGTTGTTTCTTGTTTTTTTTTTTTGGGGGGGCTCGGGCGGGGGGCTAATAACGTTCTTGGCTGGCCGTCTTACAAGATATTCTCTTGGACTTGCTGCTACGCTATCCACTCTGCTCTTGCACTGTACCTTAAAAATTGCAGACATACGAAAAGAAAGATGGCCATCACAAAATGAGCCAAGGTGTGCAATCAATGATCCAGCAATGGATGTGGCGTCAAACAATTTTGCCGTGTTCTCCCAAAGAATTGATGTCACACCTTGTCGATCTGATGAAGAAACATCATGACTTTCAATAACGGCTTCATCCACTGAAACAAATAGTTTGGGTGCTTTGCAAAACCACTAAAAAACATGTATTTCCCCATGTAATTACGAGATGAAGCCGCTTTAACCAATGGCACGGCTGCGTGAAAAGTCCAAAATGGACTTGGATGCTCAGACCACTGTAAATTAGCAGAAAAACAAAAGGCAAGAATTGATGGTGTGCTGATTTCCTCACGGCCGCCTGTGAGCCGTGTACCTAGTTAACCCACCGTTTTATGGACATGTAATGGGGATATGTCTTTAAAATGGATTTGTAGAGATAAGGGACATGACCAACAACAATATGAGTCTTAATGGTGATTTATTGGCATCACCAGCAATATGGGTAAATTGCGGTAAAGTAAATGATGATGAATGTATTGGCGAATCATCCCAAAATGGCCAACACTTTTGGTTTGGTTACTGTAGGTATTTTTGATATCCCATCCTATCCCAATTTCGTTGGTTATAGCCCTATGAAATACTCCCGTTTGCAGGATGCTTCCATGGTTTTTCCTATGGCGATGTTTCTGCTTTTCGTCCATGTTTTTTTGGTGGCTCCGTTGGTTATAACTGGCCATACAACTTCCCTCACCGTCCTCACCCCTCCTGAATCCAATGAGATGCGCACATCAACCTATACCCAAAGTCATATGACCCATACCAAACTGATGAAACAGATCTGGGCGAAACCCAGCAGATTGGCATAGATCTAAGCGATTTTCAATTCGTGGTGCAGCCCAATGCAGCTCAGGTGGGGATCTGCACTCTCACAGCTTCACATATGTTGCCTCTTTGCAAGCCTTGGGCAACCAGATGCAATGGGAACAGGTGCTCATGTGACTCAGCAGCAGTGCAGGGCAGGAGTGCAGGAGGGAGCAATCCCATCCCCGCTTTTTGCACTGGCTAAATGAAAGCCTGGTGAACTGTATCCTAATCATTGTGGGGACCCAGTCATGGCTATTTACTTTCTGCTAAGTTAAAAAATGGAAATCACCATTGGACAAAAATATGACATTTTGTTCGTTTTTATCATCCCACTGATGGATTTCGCAGCTCGACTCCCCGGTGAGCTCATCCAGTTTTGCTATGAATTTTTCATAGGGAAAAAGCTGAAAATGCAGTTGGAGTTCGTATGTTCCCACATTTTCAGACACGCCCATAGTGTATGTATACTATATACGTATATACACTATATACTGTGTATATAGATATATATGCTTGGGAATTATTCGGAAATTTAGGTTAGAAACAACATCTTCCATGGGTCAATGGCTCCACAAGTGGGGGTCGACAAAAGCGGTCAAACAATGGGTCGAAAAGCAATCAGTTTGGTTTGAAAATGGGAATAACAACACTATATAGAAATTGTATGAATTGCCCAAATGGCCCAACATTTCAGCTATTTTCAGGGTCTTGAACTCTGATGAATTTCAGCCAGATCCATGAAATGCCCTGAAATCCCATTAAATCCCATTAAATCCCATTAATCCCCAAATAGTGAAACACCGCAGGGTGTCATTGCAGGTTCCTGGAAGAAGTGGAAGATCGCTTTGCAGCAGATGTCAAAGTTCCTCATCGCAAATGGAGACGCCCTGGCGCTGGGTGTGGGCTATGCCTCAATGGCGCTATGGTGGTTCCTGACTATCAATGGCTTAATGTTTAATACTGCTAATAATGCTTAATAATGGTGGTCATCGAAGGAAGTTTAGAAGTGAAACTTCCGACAATATGGACAGTTGAAAAGCAGAGGTGAGAAGAGTCAGAAGAGACAAGATCAGAAGAAAGAAGAGGTAGATGCGCGAAAAGATAGGAAAGTCGCGATTCACTGTGTTTTTCCAATGATTTGTGGCTCCGGAGGGTCGAAAAGTAGGCTCGCTAAAGCGGCGGGTGCGGAGCCAGCTGGCCAGATGAGACATGAAAAAGTGCACGCCGTTGTGGCGCGAAGCACATTTCCAAGTCAAAATGGACAAAACACTAGAGGATCGGACCACTTTTGGAAGTTGAGATGTCGAAAAAGTGCACGCCGTTGTGGCGCGAAGCACATTTCCAAGTCAAAATGTACAAAGCACACCAATGTCGGACCACTTTTGGAAGTTGAGATGTTGAAAAAGTGCACGCCGTTGTGGCGCGAAGCACATTTCCAAGTCAAAATGTTAAAAACACTAGGGGTTCGGACCACTTTTGGAGGTTCAGATGTCGAAAAAGTGTCGAAAAAGTGTAAAAAACTGAGGGTTTTGAGCCTTTTTTGACGTGAAGATGTCGAAAAAGTAGACACTGATTAACTTAACTAACTTGACTAACTTGACTAACTTGACTAACTTGACTAACTTAACTAACTTCACTAACTTCACTAACTTAACTACAACAACAACAACAACAACAGCAACAGCAACAGCAACAGCAACAACAACAACAACAACACCAACACCAACCGCAACAACAACAACTACAACAACAACTACAACAACTACACAACAACTACAACTACAACTACAACTACCACTAGAACTACAACAGCTACAACAACAACAACAGCAACAACAACAACAGCCACAGCAACAGCAACAACAACAACTACTACTACAACTACAACTTCAACTACAACTACAACTACAAAACAACTACAGCTACAACCATATGACTGCAACTACACTACACTAATTACATTACACCACAACTACAACTCCACTACGCTACAACTACAACTACAGTTGCAGTACATCACACTACATCCAGCAGTTGTGGGTGAGGTGACCACTGCAACCATTGCAACCATTCCAGCAAACACAAAACACAATCAGTGGCTTCAATTCCAGCTCCTCGGTTGTGCAGGTAATCAAGACTATCACTCTCGGCAATCACAGCTATGCAATTGCCCATTCCAGTGATTTTCAAACAAGAGGCTATATATAGGTAGATATACGATATCTGGAATAAAATATCGTGACCTACTACTGGTAATCAAGAAAAATAGTTTAACTATCAATAGTGGGTCAACCACAAAATCTGTACCATCCGGCAATTTAACACAGCTATGGAAAATGAATGACAATTGCCCATTTATAGATCATTTACATATAAACAATTGTGATTTTCCATTCCTATCTGGAATTACAAGAGGCTATATATATAGATATACGATATCTGGAATAAAATATCGTGACCTCTCGGAGTCACGGGAATGATGGCTGCTAGTAGAAACTATCCCCAAATCGCCGAACTCTTTAGGTCAGTGAATGAATACTACCATACTACCATCCTTATCCAAACATATACAGAAGCGATGGGAAAAGGAGGCGAAGCTCATCTCAGGGGGTCAACGATGTAGCACGATGTAGCATGCGGTGCCTGATTTCATCCTGGTTCTGCCATTCTCTTGGCATTTGTTTAAAAGAAAGAAATTCCCAGAGCACCTGGGTTTGCTCGAAGATAGGCTGCACCCAAATTTGATAAGCTTCAGTTCAGAAGCTCATTTTCCCAACATTGATGTTGGCCGAGAACCGAGCAAAGATTGCCCATTCACTTTGGGTACCCTCCGCCAATCAAACATGCCTTGTTAGAACATCCACCATTTCGTTCTGATTTTCCCAGCTATAAACCCCATTTAGTTCGGGGGCTTGCCAGTTAGACACGTTTGATGGCAGCGGATGGTATATCCCCATGAATTCCCTTTAAAACACCTTTAGATCACCATCATCATTTGGTGTTGGTCAAATCCCACTGAATCACCCTGCAAGCGCAGGCATTACCGGAGGCTAATTCCTATTGAATATATTGAATCACATTAATTCTGTGAAATCACCATTTGTTGTTGGGATTTTCCATGTCATTTTCGGTGTCTCCTTATTTTTGTCACCCTAACATGTGGGAAGATCATTAATTACATCAATTACGTCCAATTATATCTCCTGAACATCCCTATTAGAACCCATTAGATTACCCATTGACACCCAATAAATCCCACATAAATCCCACATAAATCCCACATAAATCCCACATAAATCCCATAAAATCCATATAAATCCCAGGGAACATCACCACGTCATCCCCCGGCACCCGGCCATTCGCAGGTCCAGAGTGCCGCCGTGAACGCCTGCGCGCTTGGCTCTTGGGAGGTGAGCCGTTGTGGATTCGAATGGAACGTGGTAATTTCATTGTATTTATATATATACGATGTAATATAGAATTATTAGTTGTAATATAGAATTAGTTGTTTATCGTTAGAATCAATCATAGAATTATATATATATATATTATAATCATTATTATAATAATCGTTAACAATCAATACAATCATAATAAAAATGGTCGAATAATGGATCATACAGAACTAGCCCAATCATATATATATATACATAATAATCAAGATAATAGAATTGATATTTTAGTATATAACAGCAGCATTACATATTCATATACATGTTCATCTACATACACACACATATATATATATTACACTACCATTTTAGATTAATAGTTCTAATAGTTGTATATATTGATGCTAAATAAATATATATATATATATAGATAGATAAGAATATATGATATTATCATCATCATCATCATCACCATCATCATCATCATCATATATATATACACATCTAATATAACTATTATAGTTTGATAATAATGGTTATAATAGAACTAGCCCAATCAATATATATAAATATATATATAGTTAATACTAATATGTTTTAGATAATAGTTCTAAACTAATCCATAGTGGTATATACGTAATAAAAATAATACTATTAACACCAAGATTTTTAAAACAATAGTTTGAGTATTCATGATAACAATAATCTTGATATATAATGATATGTATAAATATAGATAATTGTGGATATTCCACCGGTTTTAACACATTTTTTTTTTTCGTATATATGGTTGTATGGTTAAAATTCTGTATCTCAAATGGGGATATTCCACGTGTAAACTTAGGTTATTTCATATTAATAAGATCCTCCAAATCAACATAGATCCTGGGAATAGCCAATTTCTAGGTTGGAAAGAATTGTCTTGCTGTCTTACAACGTCCAATTTCTAGGCAGGATCTATGTTAGTTAGGGGATGGTAGCCCATACAACATTGGAGATATTCTACATACTATGTATTCATATATATATATACACAGTATGTGAATGGTGGGCTCTCTCTCTCTCTATATATATATGTATAAATTCCACACACACACATATATATATATATATTCACCATATAAGATAAGCGATAGATATTCCATATATAAACTCACCATATTTATATATCACTATAGCTCTAGCTTCCCTTAATATGGTGAGTTTTCCCCCACGTAGGATGCTTGGGATCACCGGAGAGGAGCGTACCGGAAAATCATCAATTTTCCCCAAGGGAATTTGATGGGAGTTTGACATAACTGCGGCAAACTATCCCACTTGCTAAGTTCTAAATGGCAAATATAATATTGAACCCCCAGGATGACGACAATCCATGACTTAAAGAAACCCTCCAACATATCGACCCAGGCCGCGTGGTGTTTGCTTCAAGGGATGCAAGCGAAGCATCTTCCCACGCAATACGCCACCAGCGCGCTGATGAAATCAGCTGCTCAGGCGATCCTGGTGGCACTACAGGGTGCAGCTAAGTCCACTGGGGCAGCTAAGGTACGTAATGTGGGAAACCCTGCCATAAACCTACCATGACTGGGGATGGTTCAAACATGTTTAAACATCCCACCCAAAAGCATGGTGATGACTTTGGGATGGTGATGACATTGGCGAGCTTCAGGTCCGACACGATTCTACAAAAACTCAATGGAACCAAAGAGCTTGATCTTTGGAGACATTTTCCATGGTGAACCTTAAAGTTCATGTGAGCACTGTTCTTGAAAGCCCTGTTGGTTGTTGATTATATGGGATTATCGCAATCTATGAATAATCCTATCAACCGAGCACCAAAAAAAGGGAGGACCAACCGGTTTTTGAACACTCATGTTTTCTTCCAAGAAATCTGGAGATCTTGATATGTTGGGTTTTGGCTCTGTCTTTCCCGTGGAGATTTTGGGCTTCACCGATGGAGTGTTCGGTGGTTTCCAGGCGACCGAGTGGGCTTTGGCTCTGCATCTCTTCCATTCCACAGATACCATGGATTTGGACCCCTGGCTGGGGAAAAGCCAACTGAGGATGGTTACAGTAGATTTTGTATTTACCAATATATATATATATATATCTGGTTGGTGGTTTCCATCATTTTTTGTTTTTCCATACATTGGGAATAATGATCCCAACTGACTTTCATATTTTTCAGAGGGGTAGGTATACCACCAACCAGATATATTTCATGGTGACATATGATATCATGGGGAGATATGGGGATATACCCAACAGCTTTATCTGGATTTGGGGATTTGCATGGGGACAACACTTGGACTGGGAGATTTCACCAACAGTTATGGGCATAGAATGGGGACAGATATGTCCAAGAATTCTGGGGAAACTAAGGGGATGGGTGCTTAAGTTCAAGTTGATCTTTGCATATCTTTGCTACGATGGGGATATACCCCAGGGTAAACTAACATAGAAGTGGAAAAAACATGGTTTCCCCAGGAAATTAGTCCACAAATGGTTGCTTTTTCACATCTATGTTAGTTTAGCCTAGGGTAAATACTGCGCAGCAAAATAATTGGAGGATATTTGCCCTAGATAAACATCCAGAACTGCCAGCTATTTCGGGCTTCACCAGGGGACTCCAAATGGGTTTCGATCCCCAAATGATCAGGACGACCCGCCGTACCTCCCAGCTATTAAGTGGTCTATATATATATATATATGTGCACATGTAATCCATTTATAATGTTATATATATATATTTATACATACCTAGATCCACTTGGAGGACGAAAAAAGTGCCGCTATTCATTGTGGCGATATTTTGTGCCGCAATGCAAGAAAAAAAACGCGGCACGAAAAAAACGCCGTGGCAGCACAAAAATGCCGCAAATCAGAAACGTGGTTGTTGACAACATCCGGGTTAAATGCCCAGCAACTATACATTCTGCAACATTCAGCTCCTCCTAGTCTCTCAGCTATGCCACAGAACAACGCTGCGGCCATGTGCGTGCAATTCCCAAAAACTATCCCACAAAAACGCAATGGAATCACTGAACTATTGCAGCATCTTATTCGGCAATTATGCCAAATTACGCCGCAATTACGCCAAAATACGCCGCAACTACTCCACAAGTCTAAGACACTTTTGATTGACCTGACCGGGGACGTGTGAAAAAAACGTGGCTGTCCAAACTTGCAAAGTAATCACAAGAGCCACAACGTTCGGTCGGACTTGTCCGAACGACTACCAGCTCGTGTTAGCTCCTTGCATAGTCTTGTTTAGAAGCAAGAAAAAACGCCGCAGCAGAAACTCAAAAACGCCGCAAGTTTGAAATTACGCCGCAGCACGGATTTTTGGATACTTTTAGCAAAAAGTGCCTCCAACGAAATATATAGAAGTGGGGATGTAGTCCAGTTCCAGATGGCTGAGGCCAAAACGGTGGGCAGTTTGCACAGTGACTCAACCGAGGTGGGTTTCAACAGTGCCCTCGGTGCCTGCCAAGTGGCACATCTCTGGGAGGAGGCCTTGGGTTCCTCGGCAGGGACAGAAGAAGCTATGAATCGAAGGATGAGAAGGTTCTTGAAAGGATCTTGGAAACCTACAGTACGTGGTTATTTCAAGTTATTTCCTTTGATTTTTCGGAGTATTTGTGGACTGGTTGAAGGGCAATTCCACTGGAAAAGTTTTTTGCGAAAAAAAACCCTCGTGGATTTCCTGCAGATTTTCCAGGGGTCAGCAAGTGTCGTATTTAGAGGATTTCGGGAACATCACCTAACAGACGGTTGTTGGTAGACTGTTTGTGGGTTGAAAGCCACAAATCATGTGTCGCGGATCCAATCACACCAAGGACTCTTGCAGAAGATGCAAGACTCCGAGCTGCAGGCGAGGGACGGGATGGGACGGGAACTCACCCGTTTCTGTCATGGTTTCGGAACCGTTTCTGTCATCGTTTAAGCGAGAGAATGGGGCGGGTTGCTGACTGAGGCTGATCAGGTTTCCTACAGCTCTGCCATCAGCACCTGCGGCAAAGCGTTTCTCGGTTGGCAGCGAGACGCGGAGTGGAGAGGGGTCATGACGGTCATGGCTGGAGATGTTCGCATCAACTTGTTGCCAGCCGCGAATTATGACAACTTTGGTGAAGATTCATCAAATGTACTAGTAGCGGGCCGATCATTTCCTAAGCATCAAGCTATGTAATCCTTGGGTCTGGATGAAAAAAGGCATTGGTCAAAGTTTTCCAGTCACAGTTCTTTAACGTACCCTATCTTTATTTAACATAGCTATGGAAGCCATGGCACATACCTAGCTGTAAAATGGTGCATGAAACCAGAGGGTAAACCCCCCAAAACCTTGGCAAAAGGATTAGCCTGTTGCCAGGTCCACCATGGGATAGGTCAACCCATCACATTTTTGCTGGAGATCTGTAAGAAAAAAAACAAGCACGAAGTCACTAGCTGGATCATCCAAGAATGGTTTGTGCAGTAAATGCAGTCAATATATTGCTATATTATGAATACAACAGAATATCATAGTCTGGCATGATACCGTAGAATCATGTTTGGAACCAAACTTTGCATTTTCATATTAACCCAAGAATAATCCACCAGTTTATTCATTGGCGGGCACCAATGATCACCAATGTCAAGAATCATCGGAGATGATCCAGTGGTGAACAGAGAGAGCGGTGGGCCGAGCGATTGGGGTATCCATATTCACTATGTTTGATGGGGAGCTAGGGAGCTACTAATAGAGTTCTCAACCATAAAGCATTGATAAACCCCATAGTGACAATAGTGACAACACTGGTAATAAACATCAATGATGATATAGTGGTACAATGTTAATAGTGACAATGATAATTACCACCAATCACTTGTTGGTTGGACTTTCTCAGTTTAATATTTACAATAGTGATCATAACTGATTAAGTTTTATGAATATTACTTCCAATAACATTAATGATTATTAAGTTCATGATTATAGTAACCACTTATTAGCCCAATAGTGATCATTAGTGACAATGATATGCAATGATAATCAAATTTGAGGTCTTGTCGAGGGGGCTTTCTTCCTCCGGGCTCACTGAAGGCTCCACTGGCAGCATGCGCTGCAGTTGATGACCGCGGTGCCAGCCGAATCGGCGGTCTTCAACGCAGTCATCAACGCCTTTGGCAGGTGCGGCAGACCGGACGACGCTGGACGACCGGGATGATGGGAATTGGAATGTTTTTGGACGCCAATCCTTTGCTAAGTTGGCTTTGTATGTTTAGTTCAGGTAGGTTGACTTGGGTTATCTTGGGTTTATGGTAGATATAAGTGTAGTTGGATGGGTCTGACTAGCCAGTTGGTAGATACAACAAACATAACCGGGAGGGGCACGACTGTATCACACCTTACAGATGAAATTTGTGGCAGGACCAATGAAACAGTGCCGGCACTCTGGATTTTGGGGAATACAGTGCTGGATTTGGGGAAGACCGTACTGGATACAAAAAATCACTGCAATTTGGGGAATAGTTTTTTTTCCCCTTGAAACGAATAATTTGGTCATTCCTGGCTGAGGCTTCATAATTCAATTCTATTCATAATATTTCATGATGGGATGACCGGGGGGCCTCTATATTGTTGCTTTGACCGGGGGGCCTCTATATTGTTGCTTCCGCTGTTCAGCTATATGTATATCTATATATACACATATGTGTATCCTAGAATGTTCCAGGATATTCCTATTGTCTACATTCCCATGTTTGTCACTTCATTCCTAGGAGTGTAGTTCCACTTATAAGTGGATATACAACCATGCCATAAGACATCCAAAGAACAGGATATCCTCAGTTATAGAGGGCTTGTATACCACTTACGATCGCCAGGAGCAGCGAGTGGCGACGAGCGCTGCTGGTCTTTGACAAGATTCCAAAGGTGGAGACACGGCTGCACGAATGGTCCAAGGATGCGTAGTAGAATGTTGTTGTTTTCAGGGTACCTCCAACATTTTCCGTAAAAACTTGCAATTGTTTGGCAGGATTTTTCGTTTTTGTCCATATTTTTCCTAGAACATTCGCAGTTTTTATGCGAACAAATATGGGTTCATTGTCATTTTGCCATATTTTTCAAACAACATTTGGATACGGAAAGAAATGCCGGATGCTCCAAGGTACTCATTTGGATTTCCTTTATGGGGCAGAATTCAGGAGCCGTTAGGACCCACATTTTTGTTGTGTATCCTTGTATATATATATATACATGATTATATAAACCTAAAATAAAGCAAATTTTTGACTCAGATACTCAGTTGGCCTATCACGGTGTCACGGAGCAGTGATACTCCATACAAAACCCAGGGATACTGCATGAGTCACTGGGATTTTCACTACCAGTTTTTTTTTTTGATCGGCCCAATCTACAGTTCTGAAGGGAATTGGGTGACATTAGTTAAATCAACCCAGATAGAATTGAATCCCAACATAATTAATTCATATGTATATATGTATATATGTATATATGTATATATTATTATCTTCCCATAGAAGTAAACTATAGAACTGCACAAAACCAGACCCATTTCCTCCAGTGCTCTCAGTGCTAGGATCTGATCAGCTACAACAGCCTCATCAATGCTTGCGGCTCGATCTTTCGCGGGGATGGGAGGGAGAATGGGATGGCAATGTTCAAACGCCCCATTGGTTGATGATTATGCTCGGGATGATCAAGGGGTCAAAGAGGCTTTTGAACACTGGTCACCTGCAGGCTTGTCGGGAATATTATGATTATTTCGTCCGACTGGGATACCTATTGAATCCTATTGACCAGTATTTCATGGGATGAGATGGTATGGTGTTGTGTTTATGTTTATATTACCGTATTGGTGGGTATATTTTCCATATCCCCATCAGGTCTCCGGAAAAAAACATCACCATGTTATCACCATGTTCCCAGCTATATTCCCATTATACCACGTTTGTGAGATTTCAATTAACAGAACAAGTCCCACTTACCCTCTGGTGTCATCAAACATGAGCTGGAAAGCCTCCAATCTAAATGGAGATTTATAGCTGGGAAAATCATTGAAATAACTGGGAGTTTTTGCGGCTTGCCATGTTTTACCTTCGAAGGGTAATCCCTACTGAGGGTTTTAGTCGTTATATTGGCGCAGTTCCACTAAGATTCGTGGTCATGCAAAGATAATTATAGTGGTTATATCCCAACTTGTGACTACCATGGTTCTACCCGAAGAAAACACCATGCTTATTATAGTCTTATAGTGGGTGTACCCCAAAAAGTAGCTGGAGTTTTATTCCGATGGTTAAACCCACAAATTTTCACCAAACTCCCGCACTCCAAAAAAAATGAGGTACTGTACCTTTCTCAAAGCCATAGAACTTGGGGATATATTTGCTGAAATTTGGCCCTAGAAGGCGGAGCAATAAATGGTAGGTAACTCCAATAGATCGCTACCCTCTGGTAATGGCTGACATAGCTATTGAAAATGACCATAGAAATAGTGGATTTACCCATTGAAAATGGTGATTTTCAATAGTTTTTTGTAAACGTTTACCAATGTTTGCCAGGCCGGGTACCTGTTGCATGGCCATTGATCCTCTGATTCAGTTCCCAGGCGCGAAGGGCACTGAGCGCGACGTGGCGTTGCAACTCTTTCGTCAGCTACCGTCCGCGCACCTGGCGCCGGACTGCGGGTTGCAGGGTGGCATAACTCGGCGCACTCAGGTGACAGACCACCATGGAAAGGTTGAATTTTAAGCAGCTACCCTCTGGTAAACATACAAAAAACTATGGAAAATCACCATTTTTAATAGGTAAATCAACTATAAATGGGCCATTTTCAATAGCTATGTTGGTTTACCAGAGGGTATCATTGGTTGGGGTCTCTGCAATGGGGTTTGAATGCCCACGAATTCTTTCCGGAAGGACCTCTTCACCTTTGGTGCGCTGATGACAGCCATCAATGATGGGAATCAGGAAACGGCGCGGGTGAGTGCGGCATAGTGTGGCATCTAACATCAGCTGTTTTTGCCAAAGGAAACTAGACGGGGATAGACATGGTTTATCGGAAAATAGGGTATGCATACAGAATTTGATGGGTGTATTGGAAAGCATATTTTTCCAATGGCGATTGTTTTACGGTGTGCTACATTTTCAGTCACACCCAAATCAAGCTAAGATAAGACCCACATGTTCATACAAGGTTGTTCCCCAGTTCCTTAGGTGAGTTGGTTTATGGCTAGGCCAACTATAGGGTAGGCCAGGGTGAGAGTGGGTGGCCTGAACCTCGAAGCATTGGATACTGATTAGTGTAGTGCCCCCCCTCAACAATTTTGGTCTACTCAATAACTCGGCATTTTCTTGGGGACCAAGTCTGGGGAATTCAGGATGATCAACTTAAGCAAGGATTTTGATTTCAATTGACATCAATCTACTTTCAATCGATTTTGCTTTTAAAACTAAAAAAAATGATAAGAAAGGCTTTCAATTGAAACCAATCTACGTTAAATTGCTTTTCCTTTTAAACCTCAAAGAAATCTATTGATAAGAAAGGATTTCCATTGAAAGCAATTTACCTTCAATTCATTTGAGTCTACTTTCAATTGCTTTTCCTTTTAAACCTCAAAGAAATCTATTGATAAGAAAAGATTTCAATTGAAATCAATTTACTTTTAATTCATTTTGTGGATGGAACAGTCGTCCTACACTTGAAATCGGGAAGTGTAACAAGTTTTCTTTTGGAGTTGAGAAGAATAGCATGGCCCCTGCGCATTCATTTGTTGCAGCATGGCCACCTTTGCCAAGGATGACGCACACAAATCCCTTGGACATTCATGGCTCAAGAAAAATAGGAGCGGTGCACCTCACTGGCGCGGTACCTGTGCCTTCACAGGTTATGAGCCCAAAGTGGCCAACTTGGGACGTTTTTCGTTGCTAAGCTGCTGGCATGGACATGAGGCGTCGCAGCCGGGGCATGGAAAGCGGCCGGAGTGAGTCCGCAGATGAAAGGCTTGACCGCCTGATAGCTATGGAGAGGAGGGCAAGGTCTACACCTCCAGCAAGGGGGGAGCAGCATGAACTGAGGCGCTTGAAGATGGTGCCTGAGGGGAGCGAGAGCTCAGCAGTCTCTGGTGATGCGGCTGCTGCGCATGGAGGTCAACGAGGTGGAGCAGATGGGACAGCTTTGGCGGATGTGCCGAGGCCAGCTCACTTGCCCCTGGACTTCGGACAGCCAGCTCGAGATCCTCAAGGTCTTCTAGCTCCTTTGGTTCGGGGCGCTCTTGGTGATGGCCGAGCTCTACAAGCTGATCAGGGTCAAGTTGGACATTCAGGTCAAGTTCAACGCGGCGATCAAGGAGGTCGTGCTCAGGTGAACGATGGGTCAATGACTAGGAGGGGCACGGAGACAGTGAACCCTTTCTGGAGTTCTGATGTGAGGAGAAATGCTCTCATGTCAGGTCAAGGACGTCTACCAGGTGACGTGGGGCTGACTCGCAACTTGCAGCCGGTGATGGATGCAGCGGGAAGCGGCCGGACTGGCCAGGACCTGGATGAAGGTGAACTTGAGAGGATCCGGCAAAGGGTCCTGCGTGAAGCGGAGGAGAACTTCAAGCTGGAGATCAGGAAGCTTCGTGGTGAGGTGGGGACAGACTCCAGGTCTTACCATTCGGCTTCATCTGGTGGTGACCAGGGAGCTCCTTCGGCAGCGCAAGGTGATAGAGCAGCTTCTGGAGCTACTACAACTCCACTTCGGGGGATTGGTCATGGCTTGGCAGCGATGTCAACTCCTGGACAAGGAGATCGCGGTGGTGCTGTGGTCAATGGAACGCCAGTGGCAGGTGTTCCTTCTCCGCCTGGTTTGGATCAACGAGGTGGTCTTCCTGGTGCTGGAGCTCAAGGTGGTTTTGGGGAGTCGCTGAAGAGCCAGGAGCTCCCAGCCATGCCGGCTCCGGGTGTGGAAGGGGCTTCATTAGCCTTTGGAGACTGGCTGGCACTGGCTAGTCCACAAATGTCAGACATTGGAGCGGTATCCCGGGATTGGTGGATCTATGTCTTACAGCAGGTGGAGGAGCACTATGAAAGATGGTTGGTGTCTGGTCCTGTGGATCGCCTTCGCCTACGTCCTGGTGATGCTCAACTTCCTGCAGAATTTCAACGGGTTGAACAACGTGGGGTGTCAATGCTTCTGGCAGCTTCTCCGGAGATGATCAAGCGAGACTTGGTGGCCTCCAGAACTTTGACATCAACTGGAATCCTTTTTCGGATGTTCACGGTGTATCAGCCTGGTGGTGGAGTGGAAAAGGCAGCACTTCTCAAGCAGGTGACTGAGCCAAAGATCGGGTCGTCAGTGGTGGACCTTCTTGGAGGGCTTCGTCAGTGGAGGAGGCTGTTGGGTCGGGCTGCGGAGCTACGTTTGGCTCTTCCTGACCCTGTGGTGCTTTCGTCGGTGCTGGGTCGCATGGCGGACGCTTTGGCCAAGGTTGGTGGTCTTCAGGTGGGCTATCGCATCTCAGCAGTGAGGCAGGAGCTCATGGTGGACACCCGGCCGACTATGGAAGCGGTGAGGGACTATGCTGAGGTCCTGCAGGCAGAAGCTGAGGAGTTGGCGCTGGTGACGAACTCAAAGATGTTCTCTACGGCATCAACGGCTGCTCCAGTTTTGAAGGCTCTTCAAGTGGCCGGTCAGGATGGTTCTTCAACTTTGCCGGCATCAACCAGCACAAAGGGTCCATGTAGATACTGGAAAACCGATGAGGGTTGCAAACGGGGTGCGGCTTGCACCTTTCAGCATGACATGGAAGGAATGCGTGGCCGGTGTTGGTCATGTGGGGGTTCAAATCACCTCAAAAAGGATTGTCCTCACAAAACAGCTTTGGGTGGCATCAACGGCGGCGATACCAAAACGCCGAGAAGGGTCAGTAAGATCAAGGAAAAGATGACTCCGGAGAAGGGTAGTCCTGGTGCAGCTCAGGGGGAGAAGGTCGTCAAGGTGGTTGCACAGGATGAGATCAAAGGGGCATCAACGGATGGGGTTGCAGCTGAAAAAGAGCCTGTGAAGGTTCCGGTGTCTGTTGCTCCTGCTCAAGTTCAAGAAGCTCCCAAGGAGACGGCGGCAGATCTGATGAAGGAGGCTGCAAGCCTTCTCAAGTCTTTGAGGAGCGTCAAATCGATCAAACTGAAGCAGGTGATCTTGGACGAGAACTCTGGTGTGGGCCAATGGGCACTACTGGATGGTGGTGCTACTCACGCACTTCGCCAAGCTCGGGTGGATGAGCTTGAGGGCCTGGTGGCAGTCGAGGTGGAGCTTGCCAGTGGTTCTACAACTTTGTATCGCTCCAAGGATCATCAAACTTTGTTGTCTTTGCATGAGGTGGAACCAATTCTTCCTCTTCACTTGCTGGTGTCAAAGGGCTACAGGGTGGTGTGGAAGACGGAAGGCTGCCGCATTTCCCATCCAACATATGGCCAGGTGAACTGCTCCATGAGACAAGGGTGTCCAGTTATGCCGAGAGCGGAAGCACTGGAAATGTTGCATCGCTTTGAGACGGAGGAGAAGCTGGGCATGTACCTCAAGGAGACGGAGCGCATCTGGTGGAAGGAGCACTTTCCGGAAGTCCCAGAAGAGGTGCTTCGACATATGGTGGGTCAGGGGGAGGATCCAATGGTGTGGACATGCCCTTGGAATAGAAGGCAGCGTCGGGGACATCGTCAAGGAAAGGGCGTGGTGGTGCACTTGTTCTCTGGGGCGGATCCATCGGTTTGGACCAACTGGGGGAGCTACCAGTGCATCTGTGTAGACACAGCGATGGGTTCCCAATTCAACATACACCATCCTGGAGTGTGGGCCTACTTGTGGAAGCTTGCAGAGGGTGGCTTCATCAAGGCAGTGATCGGTGGCCCACCTTGCAGGACCACAAGCCGATTGAGAAATCGTGGACCTCCGGGACCCAGGCGTCTCCGTGGAAGAGATGATGAGCGGTGGCACCTGGATCACCTGGATCCCTTCGAGTTGGAACTTGTCAACAGCGACAGCGCGCTGATGTTGAAGCACATGGCGCTGTGGGTGAAGTCAAATGAATGCCGGACTCTGCCAATGGAGCCAACTGGTTTTTTCATGGAGTCCCCCGAGGATCCCAAGGACTACTTGGAGGATGAGGAGGAAGCCAAGATTTGTCCGAGCTTCTTCAACTTCAAGGAGGTCCAGCAGTTCGTCGGGAAGGAGGGCCTGATCTACTTTGCCTTCGACCAAGGTCAAACCGGGCATCGCAGGAGGAAACCAACTGGCATTGTCACCAACTTGCCGGAGATGTCTCAACTGGCAGGTCTTAGAGGTGGAGGTGTCACAACTGCGATTCATGGTGGGCTCGGTGAAAGGATTTTGGCATCAAAGTCATGGGCGGAATGGAGTCCAGGTTTGGTGGCTGCGGTCAAGGAGTCCCTCAAGATGTATCTGGACATGTTGGATGCCCATGGAGCTGAAGTTAGATCAGATCCACAACTTCGAAAACTGGATATGGCATCATGGCGGAAGCATGTTCGACAGCAGCATGTTCCTTTCAGAAAAGACTGCAGGGTGTGCCTGGAATCAATGGGCACTTCACATCCTCATCGAAGAAGCCACAATGCTTCTTCATCCTTCACTATGTCTCTGGATTTGGCAGGGCCATATCAAGTTGGGCGAGATCTGGGAACTGGGAAGTCTTGCAGGTACATGATGGTGGCGGTTGTTCCAATTCCAGTACTACATGAACTTCCGGTGGCACATGAAATCCCTGATCTTCAGCCAGAAGATGTTGAAGAGGCTCCTGAACATCCAGAAGAAGAAGAACCAGAGGAGCCGGTGGAGGATGTGGAGCAGGACGTGGTGAACGCCTTGAATGAGAAGGCGAACATTGAGGAGATGGCTGAACCTGCATCGGTTCAAAATGTGACGCTGATGGAACCAGTTCAATCTCGACATGTGGACCATCTGGTTG